CTAGTTAATTGTTATTTAACAATATGGGTGGATGATATGCCATTGTTCTCCCAGTTAGGTGCATTTGCAATACCTTCATTTGATTATTGCCGAACATTATGAGTTACATTGATGAAAACAGTATTTTTTGGTTTGTGATAAAATCTTATGGAAAATGGTATACCTTTCCTATTGTCAGTACTGGTAATTGCTTCCAATGAGAGGATTTGATCCAATATTTGAGTTATTGTTTTAAATATTTTCCAGGTGTCATGAGGACATGTCTGTGAGAATGATAGATCACATTGTCGATTTCCACCATATTGATATTGATGCTGAATGCCTAAAGAAAGCAAAGGTTATATCTTGACAGAATTACTTTTCCTTTTTTCTGCTGGATTTTCTTTTTTCCTTTCTTGGTTCAAGTTTTTCATTGAACACGTGATTGTGTCAATTTTAATCTCACTATCAACATCTCTTGTTTGTTGTTTCACAGAGGTTCTTTTATCTACTTAAAGAAAAACAGATACATGTAACTGAATTTTTTTTAAAAAAAAAACAATTGCTAATACATGGATCCCTTATGCATCTGTGTCCTCTTTTACAGGATATGGTCATTGCAAGCACAGAACATGTTTCTCATAAAGTAAGCCATTTGACAGTCCAAGACTCTATCTGTGGTTAGCAACCCTCATTTCAATTCCTTACCTATATCATTGGCTAATTTTCTACGTTCTCCTACATGTAGGGTGTGAATGAAAAGCATTTCCTATATTATATTGTTGCAAATATAGGTAAGGAATTGAAATGAGGGTTGCTAACCACGGATAGAGTCTTGGACTGTCAGATGGCTTACTTTATGAGAAACATGTTCTGTGCTTGCAATGACCATATCCTGTAAAAGAGGACACAGATGCATAAGGGATCCATGTATTAGCAATTGTTTTTTTTTTAAAAAAAATTCAGTTACATGTATCTGTTTTTCTTTAAGTAGATAAAAGAACCTCTGTGAAACAACAAACAAGAGATGTTGATGGTGAGATTAAAATTGACAATGTGATCACCTGGAAAATTTTAAGTTAGTATATAGATAATTAAATATTATGTAGGAAAAATAGTTTATAGGTTTAAGTTAGTCGTAGTTAGAAGTTAAAAATTGATAATCAGATTATATTTCATCACCAAATGAGATTGAAATCAATACAGAGAATTCAACTATCCTTCTCTTTTGGTATGGTATTAAATGTAATTGCGCTTCATTGAAAAACACCTCCCCCTCCATGCACTAATGGCTAGCACTAGCGCATGCCATCGATTTGGCAGTATTTTCATCCTTGTTTTATAATTCCAGTTATTAAAATTTAACCTGAATTTGTTATATACTAACCTAATCTAAATAAATAAATAAATTTTAAATTTAATAAATAATAATTAAAATATAAATATTAGAAACCAGTATTAACTTAATCTAAAAATATATTTGTAAAATATTTAATTTTTTTCAATACAATATAATATATACATATCTTAATATTAATATTGATATTGATATACAATACATGTTTATAAATAATATTTATCATCACACACACACTTCAAATATATATATATATATATATTAACTATTTTATTTTTTATTGATTAATAGATAATAGTAGATAACAGATATTCATTAGAAATTCTATAAATAATTTATAAATTTTAAAAAGTTATTAAATAAATAATAAATAGAATGTAAATATTAAAAACTTTAACCCGTAAATACCCGTCAGCATCCCTACTTTTGACCATTTCGAATTAGAAGACAAGGTATAGCAAGAAGTGGGAGACAGTACGGAGAGCAAAGTTCGCACCTTTATACTTTGTCGTTTATAATTTCTCTTGGATCCAGCATTCAATTCCTCACGCAACTTTTTTGTGGTGCAGCATCATACTTTTGATCTATCTCTTCTTTCTTCTATAAAGCAATTTGGTGGCCAAATTTGCGTACCTAATCTGTTTTTCACCTCATCTTTTTTTAAACACTTGTTAACACGTATCCTAATTATTGCGTCAAACATAAAATAAATGTCTTTAAAATATTTCTCTCATTTTAAAATAAAAAAGTAAATAATATATCCATTCTGTCTCACTTTTTCTTAATTTATTTTTTTGTCCTCAAACAATAACTATACACTATTTAAGGTCTCGTTTGTGTACTGAAAAGTAGTTTTTTTAAGTAAATTTTAAGAAAATAAGTTATTTTTTTTTATGTTTGGTAGTATAATAAAAAATAAATTAAAAAATATTTTTCAGTATTTGGTTATATTATGGAAAATGAGTTGAAAAATAACTTATTAATGTTTTATTTTTTTCAAGTTTATTAAAATAACGAGGAACAAATCTTACAAATTAAAAAATTGAATGAAAATGAAGTTGAAAAAAATATAATTTCATAAATTATCTCAAATAAAATAAATAATAATCAAAATAATAGAAATCAAATCTAAAAACAAATTCAAAAGAAGAAGAAATTAAAATAATAATATTAAGATTTCATAAATTATTTCAAATAAAATAAGTAACAATAAAAAGAATGAGGATCAAATTTGATAGATAAAAAATTTTAATAAAAAAATAATAAGGAAAAAGCAAATAAAAATTATAAAAATAAGAACTAAAATTAATATAAAAATTAAATTTTAAGAGATGAAATTGAATAATAAATATTCAAAACAAAATATATAAAATCAAAAATTTGAGAACTAAATTTGATATAATCAGCAAATAATATGACATTTCTAAATTTTTTACAACTTTTAGAAAGTGTTTTCCATACAAATTTTTCAGGAAAACATTTTTCTTAAAACCAAGCTAAATTTTCCTTTAATCAGAAAGCGTTTTCCATTGATCAACTTTTTCAATGACAAACAAATACATGAGAGTTTAGAAATTGGTTTTCTGGAAACCACTTTGTGGGAAATAAACATAGTTCAAGGGTATGTTTGTTTTCTGAAAAGTAATTTCCCAAACTTTCTTGTGTTTGTTTGCCATTAGAAAAATCGGTCAATGAAAAACACTTTCTGGTCAATGGAAAATATTTTCCAGCCAAAGAAAAATTTAGTTTGGTTTTCAGGAAAATGTTTTTCTTTTATTTTGGATGGAAAACACTTTTTGAAAATTGTGAAATATTTAGAAATGTCATATTATTTGCTGATTATATCAAATTTAGTCCTCAAACTTTTGATTGCTATATATATTTTATTTTGAATATTTATTTTTCAATTTTATCCCTTAGAATTTAATTTTTATATTAATTTTAGTTCTCATTTTTATAATTGTTATTTTCTTTTCTCTTTTTATTTTTTTTTTGAAATTTTTTTACTA